ACTAAGCACGAAAATTTGTACCCAGAAGTAAAGGAGGTACATGCCAAAGCGACACAGACACTCAATACCCAAAGCCGAAAAGGGCTGGACGAGAAGATGATGTATAAGATGAAAGAAAAGCAACTGAGCCAACAGGTTGATCAGCTAAAGAAGGAGCTAGCGATGTGCAAAAAGAAACTGGCCAAAGAAATACGCAACTTTGAGAAGCAGGAAGTAAGGAGGTTGCTAACAGCAGACAAGTCAGTTCTAGACTCTGAAAATGAAGACATCATCGTGGAAGGGAAAGGCCAATTGGAAAACCGCTGCTCTGTTTCTGAGAGCGAGAAGAAAGACCTGAAAGAGAGACTTGAACAGTCTGAGTCTGATAATGCCCGAATGAAGAGAGAGCTGGATGATTTGGCTGCTAAGTTTAATGCAATGCAAAGAAACATGGAAATTGCAAAGCCTCTGAGTTCGGGAATTCAAGGAGAGGCTGTAAAGAATATCGAGGCTTATGAATCAGAGTTCGTCGATAAAATAGGGTTGGTTCTCGATAAAACTATATCTAATCGCAGCCAAGGCGAAATTGGTGCTGGAGATGATCAATACAAAAAGGGTAATTATTGAAGAATTCATAATCATATCTTCGTGAGTCAATTGACGGCTTTTAATTAAAAATTCTTCGAAATTTCTTTGAGAATCCAAAAAGGGTTTCTTCTATTTCGTAGCTAAGTTTCAACCTAGCTGTAAAAACGATTTTTAGACATTTCAGCCTCAACTTGAGCAAACCATACAAGTGTAGAATTTTTCGACTTTTGTTTCGATCTCCTTATTACCATGAACGTTTTTGCTCAACTTCAACTAACCAATGATTTGAATTGTTCTGAAACTTAGACAAAGATTGCTCTTTTAGGTTCAAAGAATCGAAGTTATTTGGATCGAAGAGAGCAAGAGGTTTTGTCAAGGGGTGGATTTATCCATCATGTCGATGACTTCTCCAACAAGAGTGATGACGAAATCAGCTTGGGAGAGTTTTCACCTCGTAGTAGAGATGAGGCCTCTACTAAGAAAGGGAAATGGAGGTTGATAACGAAGACAAAACGTATGAGGGAGACTGGATACGACAGTTGTGAGGGTGATGATATTTCTTTCAAGGGACAAGGGTTGGTCCTGGGAGCTGTTACGTACAGTGAGAGCAAGACCAATCTTGTTAAGATAAAGAAAGGAACTTTTCGCAGAAAGGAAAGGTATAAAAAGGTTCATTATACCATGGAGAAGAAAAAAGGCCTCATGAGTTTTATCCGTGACTGGAAAATGAAAAGGCGTCTGAAGAAAACTCGGGAACCAGAAGTGTCAGTCAGCAGAGATACAGTCGAAGGACCTGGTACAGATAATGACGTAGTTCCCGTTAGAAGTGATTACAGTGAGACAAACCTTTGTCGCAAACAGGGAACCTTGTGGGATGGCCTGCAGGGAAGTCTAGAGCAGTTGGGTATTCAAGACAATGCTCTTTCTGAGGATAGTAGTGGGACAAAGGACCACAGAATTGTGGCACAAAGGCAAGCAGAGAGACCTGCGAAACCCGAGAGTTCTAAAAAAGAAAAGGGAATGAACGGAAGAGTAAAGAGAGAAGATCTCAAGAGAAAGGGGTTGCTAAGCAGTTTGAGAGGATGTTTTGGAGGTAGAAAAGGCAAAGTGTCAGACTGCAATAGTGAAACATATGGGGCAGAGAATACCCTGTATAAAGATGACACAAAGTCTAATACAGGGACTGCATCTATGGAATCAAAAACAGAAGTTCGCCGTATTTTGTTTTCTGATCAAAATGAGCCTAAAAATGTTCAAGCCTGGGTGTACAGCGCTGACAGTGATGAAAGTGGGAGTTATACTGGACATAGAATGTTGAATAGGGACTCTCTTGTAGTTGATGTTCATCCGATGCAAGGAGTTGATGATAATGGAAAGGATACTAGAGCTGAAAAAGAAATGCAATTGAAACGAACAATCCTTCAGTTAAGGGAGGAAAATGCACGGCTCAAGACATATGCTTCAAGAAACCAGCAGCAAAATTCATGCGAGGTTTGGTCAAGTAACCAGATGTCAACTGATTTCCATGAGTTGCAAATAGTGAAGAGACAGTTAGGGGATGTAAGAAAGGATTTGAGGGAAGCGGCAAGAATTGCTGAAGAAGCAAATGGTGAAGCTAGGCGTGCAAAGGAAAATGAAAGCAAAGCAACTGCGGTAATGGAAGAATATCGTAGAAAATATGAAGCACTCGAGGAAAACCACGAGAAACTGCAAAAAGAAATGGATGTTATTCTAGAGGAGGCCAAAGGAAAGGAATTCCTCTTTGAACAGAAGGTGCGAAAAATTGCAGGCTACAGAGAGCAAATAAAAGAAGGAGAAATGTTGAGATGTGAGCTCAAAGAAAGATATGAAGAAAAGGCCAGAGAACTACAAAATGAATTGGAAGTCTGTAAGCAAAGATGTGCAGAATTTGAAGTTCTGGAACTGGCAAAGGATATAGAGCGAGACAACGCCATGAAGCTTGAGGAAAAAACAAAAGCTTTAGAGTCGATGGAACAAACGCTGGAGATGAAGAAACTCGAAACCGAAAGCATGGGGAAAGAGATCGATGAGCTGCAAACCAATCAGATGGTTTTAAAAGATAAGGTCTTGGAGCTAGTTGTGAAGGAAAGTATGCTGGAAGATCGAGAACAAGAGCTAGAATCAGTTAAGGCCGAATATAGTGAACTCAAATTGTGTGAGCAAGCCTTGGAAGATGAAATTATTGAAATGAAGTTGAATAATAACATTTCGGATGTGTTAATAGAGCAACTAGAGAGTGTTAAGAGAGAGAATGCTGATTTGAGAACAAGCAAGGCTAAATTGGAGGAGAAAATATTGGAGCTTGAAATAGTTACAATAAAAGAGACTGCCAACGATAATGGCAACTTGATCGAGTCCCTACAAAAAGTGGATTCGAAGTTAGATGTTACTTGCCCGGAGGAAAGTGACTGTGATGAAAGAAAAGATGTCGGAAATGAGAAGGAGGCTGTGTGTTCAAGTGAAGTCCTCTCGGAACGACAGAAAAGTGTGTCCAATGGAGCAATAGGACAGCAAAGTAGAACCATGAAAGGGCATGCAGATGAAAATGTCATATCGCAGTGGGATGCAAAGACCTTTGAAATCGAAGATTCCCAATTGGACGCTACCAAAAAAGGGTCAGATTTTATTTCTGATGTTGTATTATAATGTGGTCAAGCTCTACATATATTTTCATTGGCTCCGATGACTTTAAACAGGAAGACTTTTGCCAGAGTTGTCCCTTGTATCTGCCTTTATTGAACGAAGGGGTTATTTCCAGGCCAAAGAAAATTGTTCGAAGGTAGAGAGGCATATGAAAAGCATAACAACAAGACCTGCCAAACATAGCCATTCTTGCCTTTATATTTCCTTTTTATTTTCATGGACTCTTTTGGGGTTCGAGGTCGCGTATATTTGAGTTTTTATCCCATTCTATATCCACTACCAAACGTTCCCAAAAGTTTCGTTTTAGTGAATAACGTGAAATCTCTATGCTCATCATGTCCTCAAGAGAATTTGAAACAAAGATTTATTTTATACAGGGACCTGGCATTGGAGAAAAAGGAGCTCGACCTTAATGAGTACCCGAGTGACGATTACTCTGAATGTGATGATTACGATAGAATACCTGAAGAAAGAGACAGTGAAGACGAAACGACAGAACCAATTGGTTCAGTTGTAGAGCAAGGGACAAAGCAAAGTGCTGATGATGATGATGATGGCGAACAGGCAACTTTTGCTGATGATAAGCAAGGGGAACCAGTGGCCAGTGAAACGCGCTCCTCCTCTACCCTTGTATCAATGGCAAGGGGTATAGACGATCCCCTCTCGGCCGAGTCTTTGCTGAAGCATTGTTTATCAGTGAATCGCGTGGTATACGACAAAGAAGCGGTTAAGAGAGAGTTGTGCATAGAGCAGTTTCCTTCGATCACCCTTGAGGAAGGCGAAGTTGTGGGTTACCCAAAGGGAAGGTGCAAACAGTCAAGAGCAAAGCCAGAACATTATGTCGATTTCGTACTGTCGCCAGCAGAGCTCACTGTCAAGTACGACCCGGGTTTTGAACATTACGAGCCACTACCACCCTTTACAGAAACAAAAAAACCAAACAATAAAAACTAAATATTTGAAACAGTAACAGTTTTATTTTAATTGATTGATTGTTACGACAATACGTCGTGTGGCCATTGTAAATACAGAAAGTTTTATATTTTATGAATTGTGAAAACAATGCTGTTCATTTGTAGTTGCTCCATCTTTGTTTATCAGATTTGCTGATGTTTTCACAGGTGATTGTATCAAACTGAAACTGGTTACAGTTTTGCGTTGGCAAAATGCGTATCTCAGTTATAAAGATAAAGAGATATTGGTTTATCTGAAAAAGGAAGAAATAGAAGCCGTTTTGACTAAGACAGTTAGTTGAAATACACGATACTAATATTTCACCGCGAAAAAAACTTCAAATAAGAAGCAAACAAGAAAATCCTCAATAAAGTTCACATTTTGAAGTAAATTTGGAAGTTAAGTTTCTGATTTGCGATACTAAAAAGTCACACTTTACATCGTTGTTTTTAAACTAAAGATGTTTTCAAGTTTTCAAGTTTTCAAACTAAAGCTGCCTATTCAACATTGATTTTTGGCCCATTGAATCAAATGGTTCTACTCCAATGTTTTTGGTTTGTGAAAAATCGCACTACTCCATTTGTAAATTGTTCGTTCTATCTAGGCGTGGTAGAAAAGGCTAAAATCAGACTGCTTTGTTTGAAAATTAGGTAAATCAATGTTTCAGCTTTCTGGTTTTGGTAATCTTCTAGTTATAACGAATATAGAAAATAATTCGTCGGGTTTCCGAAGTATTCTTTCTTACAAGCATTGTCAAAGGAAGGAGTGATTTTGTGAAAAGTTATTTTGTTTTGCAAATATGTGGGGGGGGGGGGGCGTCAGAGGCCCTGCCACGTTCTATTGAAAATGTAAGAAAAAAGTAAGGTTTTCCGCCAGAAGGAGTGAGGACGGAGAAAGGAAGGACCCCTGATTGTTTTTAAAATTGCAGCTTCTTCTGAGTGCCCCAGAGTCTAAAATACCATTATACCGTGACTATAAACCTGAATTCGAGCAATCTGTTCTTTACAAACTTAAAGATTGACCCTGGTCATCTCAATTAAGCGATCAAAAAGTAATACGCTTCCAGCTTAAGTTGAAACTTATCATTTTAATATTACATTCTACATACAAAACTCAAATAAAGAATACAATGACACTACAAAATACTATTACAAAAAATAATTTTTAAAGAAATCCTTTTTAACAAAGCAACTAAAGTTTATGTAGGGGAATTTCTTCAAGGAGGGCCTGTCTCAATTGCTTTTTAATCTAGAAGAGGGCACCCCGTTTATTCAAGGAATACTATTGTGGCCTATCCATTAGGATCGCTATTTATTAACGCTTCTTAAAATGAGCATTTGTTATTTTCATTTCAGTTTTACTTATCGTCTAAATTGCAGTTTTTCAGTTTCTATAATTCTATCACCTGTTATAGCTGCTTGTTAAGTATAATTTGTATGCTGTGAATTTTAAAATGAATTTGACATTAATTGGACATTCATATGAATTGGGAAAGTTACAGACAATTTGTTCTTATTTTATGGATGTTTCGAAACGAGGCAGCAGTTTCATTCTGAGGATGGCCCTTGGTCTTTAGACTTTGATATTTGAGCCCAATGTTGTGGTTTTACCATTTCTGGATTTGTTAAACTGCCGTTAAAGATCGCGCAATTAAAAATGGATATACATCATGCAGGAAGCTACGATTCGCAAGAAAGTAGTAACCATTTGTCGTGCAACGATGACGACGAGCTGCTTCACCAGCACCATCATTTTCAAAGCACAATGGCTGACGATGTAACGCTGTCACAAACTTCCTACTTCTCCGTGTTGGAGCTCGATAATGATCTACTCATTGAACGGGCTGCACAAATGGCTGACATGCTTGAGAAGTCTGCCAGAGACCTTAAAACATATACAAAACTCGCGAGAGCCAAGGATAGGACTGTTCATCAAGAAAAAAGGTCAAGATTTTGTTGTTGTTAGAATCTCCCCCCGCCGAAATAATCAGGTCCATGCCACCTAGCAACTAAGATTTGGCTGAATCCTCTGTTTGGTTTGGTTTGGTTTGGTCTGGAGCAAATTTTGGAGTGGGGGGCTCTAGACAAATTTCAAACTTTTATGGTAGTTTTTACCCATTATCTTTGGTGCCGAGACCTGAATATACCATAGTTCAGGAAAATGTGAGACGGCTTTAGCACCCCCCCCCCCGGCCCCGGCGTACCTGATGTTTTCCTTAAGAGATTTCACATAAGACAAGTTCTAGTAGTAACCGTTTTTCTAGAAATTTGCACTCAGGTAACCTGTTGGTCAAAATGAGTTTTGAAAGGTCTAATTAAAGAAAGCTTCGATTGAGAAAGAAAGGCCACACCACCATTTTATTCTGGGGGTGCACTGATATTTTCAACCAGTTTATCCCGGGGGTGCACTGAAATTTTCAGCCTGTTTATTCCGGGGGTGCACTGAAATGTTCATTTGTCTTAAGCAATTTCCCTATCTACCATCCATTGTCCACCTAATTTCATATCCGTGCATTATATTTCATATGGGAAGGATATGGATAGTTTTGGTTCTGTTGATATGAAATCTTGTCAGGAATTACCACCCTTTCCACGCTGGAGTAGTTAATTAATCTACATTAATTTAATCTAGACTAAAATCTAAAGTCACTTTTCATTTATTTAGTTCACCTCAAACTGAAGTCTTGATTTATTTACCAATAATGTTCTTAAGTGCGAGGTTTTTAGAATTTTAAATCTTAACCACATAGCATAAAAGAACATCGTGAAATACTTCACAATTCTTCAAAAGAACAAGATCAGTAAGGGGCCATTCACAAAGGACGTCAAAGCTGAAGGGGGAGAGGGGGGTTTGGTGAATTCGGATAAATTCAAACATAGGGGGAGAGGGTGTTTACACAATCCGGACATCCAGGTTTCAAGATATTGGAAAGATACATTTCAAGCCTCAGTCTGCATTGACCTTAACGTCAAATATTCGGACAGTCAAAAAGGAAAGGTATCTTCCAGGCCTACTTCACATAAAAAGAAATTTTGAACAGGTCTGCAGTTGGCTAGTATAGGGGAACAACCTGTCAAAGAAAAAAAAATTTACATGGGTCTTCTGCAAACCAATGGCAATATCACATCTGAAACCAGAAAGCAACGAGCAAGTTGACTTGCCATATGATTTGTTCTGTCCATCTGTGCAAAAAAGCATGCAGGAAAAGGTGGCAGCAGATACCAGTGCGATTTTGTGAAATGCCGGTAAATTTTCACCTCTATAGAACTGGCTAAAATGCACCTCAGGGTACCTGGCCATAAAAGGTTGGCATTGAAGAGTGAAGAGCGTCACAGAATGAAGCAGCAAACAAGGAAGATGAAGTAGCATTTATCTTCTCTTATGGATATTGCCATCTTTTTGAAGCAGCCATTCACAGAAACTGAATATTTAAATGAAGAGTGAAACACAACTTTTGCTGCTCATATCTAACGCTTTCTTTGAATATAACATCATACAAAAACGTACTAGAAAATCAAAAATTGTTCATCAAGCCAGATTCTGGTTGGAACAAAGAACGGCTTTTTACATTCTATTTACATATACAAGGTTGAATAGCTTTCAGTATGATATTGGTGGATGTTCGAGGAAGGGAGAGGAAGCTCTGAATACAGACAATGCCAGACACATGGGGGGAGGGTGGTCAAAAAATTCCTCTTTCCTGGACGTCCTTTGTGAATAGCCCCTAAAATATGTCTAAAATCAGATAAGATATGTCCAATGAAAGAATTGATGTTTGCCAACCAATCACTGTTATTTTGGCTCTGTTCATAAAATTACAGAGGTTTGATGGGGAAGAGCCAGTGTGCATGTGGCAATATATCTGCCATTTCGAAACAAATTTGACTGAATTTGCACATTCAAAGGTGTTTCATGATGTTCTTTCAGGTTATGGGATCAAAATTAAAAAAATTCGTAAAAAATATATATTTGTGACATCATCACTTTAGAACTCTATTTATTTTCACAGGAAACCAAGACTTCCCCCAAGAGTGACAAACAATTTATTGCCAATAACAGCTCTTTGGCAGGCATGTACAAACCCTTTTAATTTCTGTCTATCAATGTTTTTAATTATATTTAATTGTATATCTATATATATGTATCTCTTATAATCAAAACATCTTATTTTTTAGAAATATTTATATCTTTATCTCATCTTTTACACTTTTGGTGTATACAACAGGATGGTTCTTAGTTGCTTCTCCAAGTTTCATGTAAAATATCCCAAGTCATCACTGACATGAGTTTTTTTGTTGCACAATGTTTCTTATTTTATTCCCAAGAAGATTTAAGTAAAAAATGTGTTAAAGAAAAATGCAGCAGTGGATTCTGAATCCTTAGAACATTTAGAAATATGTCCGACTTTGCTGCTCTGCACCAATAAAACTATCACGGGAGCTGCAAAACATGAGGGACATAAATTATTATCTATAACAATAGCTGCTTAACTATTAGATTTATCCTATATCAATACCATCTTAGATGCCATCTTCCACTTTGTAGTTTGTTTATATTTCAAGCTAAATTTGATGAAGTATTTAGATTTTGAAATTTCTTTTCAGGTTCTGTGCCTCCTTGCATTGACTATTGTTGATGTACTTTACAGGAATATAGAAAAGGATGACAACCACACTTTGAGCTACACTATTGTGAGTGTTTTGTGAACTGCATATTCCTTCATTGATATCATTATTGTGTTATTGATTTTAGTATATATAATTCTTATATTTACTTATGAAGCATAAAACGATGCCTTTAAAGAGCAAGAAATAGGAAGCTAACATGTCAAGGAAATTTTTTATTAAGTCAAATGTAACATTTTTTCCAGAGCATTGGCCTAATGTCTGGTTTCCAGCTCATCAATCTATGTCTTGTTTTTGCAGCAACAGGTAACATCATTAGTTTTGCTTTCTTAGTGGTAATCAATTTTGTATTTGCCTTTCAACGCCAGCATTCATTTGCTAAGTTATACTTAACATGATTTTCTTTACAAAAACTACACGGCAGTGAAAAAGAATCTAATTTTTGAAATCCTTTAATTTCATCTCTTTAGTTTGTCGTTTTTAGAAAAAGTGACTCTATCTGTCTGTAAGTTTAATTCTTTGAGCAAGTGTTGAAAATAGAATTGTTTTAAAGAATATGAATTGCACTCGTTTCGGATTTTTCTTGTGTGCCACTAGTAACGATCAAGTATTGAAATTAAGCAAAATTTGAGTGGGAAAAGTGTTATAATTATTTTGCCATAAATCAGTAGTTTTGCAGGGATGATGTGATTCCCTGTTATGCCTTTAAATCGATTTAATGCGTCTCTTCACGTTCACATCTTTCTTTGTTTATTGTTTTTTACAGTCAAGCTGACGAAGCAATACCTGCACAAAACAGCGAGTAACAGGTTTCTAATCAATGGATATTTCTCAATGATTGTCCTGTTTGCTGGATTGTATATGCTTATATACAGATATGAGGTAGGCTTTGGTAAATGCTAGCTCAAGTCATGGTTAAATTTTTTTGCATATAGAAGGTTATCTGGTATAGTAGCCAGTTGAATATCTAAAGCTGCAAAGCCATTAAACATAGGCCCGAGTTACATGACGTCGGATTGGTTTTCGGTTCGGATTGCCCACCCCAATCATGTTTATGTCAGCCATGTTTATGCTGGGTATTTTCTTCTTCAAAAAGCGCGCACATAACACACATAACGCTTTGCACATAACAGAGGCAACGTGATCTGCAACGAGGTTTCGGAGTGAAAATCACTTCGGATTCAGTGTTTACACGAGAAGGAATGCGAAGCGAAGTACTTCGGATTGATTTTCACTTCACCTCCAGAGCGGAATGACTTTCACTCCGGTTACGCCCACCGAAGTACTTCGGATTGCCTCAGCGTCGTGTAACTGAAAACCCTATCCGAAGTGAAAAGCAATCCGAAGTGAACCCAATCCGACGTCGTGTAACTCAGGCCATAGAAGGAAATCACACACGCTATCCAGTGAAACGAATTATGACATAGATTTACCTCAAAAATTGGATATTTTGTTTATAAAATAGAGAAAAGATTAATTCAATTTCTTCTATATGCCCTGTAAAAGTTATTTTTGTAATAACGCATACATGTTTTATAATGAAGGTCTCTTCTGTTTTTCAGAATGACAGTTTCGTTGGCTTCCCAAGTAAAAAGAAGAAGTTTGAATATTCTGTAATAGTGTTCATCCATATGTTGAACGTTTCAATATCAACTGCAACTCTTTGTGGTAGGTTTTGTCTAAGAATTTGGCTTCACTGCTTCGGTCGGCTTCACGACGAGGGGTGTCACATCAATTAGGCCAATGTTGAGCCTCTCTGTTGCCGATTTGCCTGCTTTGTTGAGGAGATGAATCTAAAAGGATTATTCTATCCATTTGTATGGTATGATATGGACATGTGAATTAGGGCGAAGGCAAAATTTACATCTAATGGCGCTTCCCATTATTTAATCAAAACGATTATATATCATGGTTGCATATTTTAAACAGAGTTTTGTTCTCACATTTCCCATGACACCCTTTTCTCTAAGTTTTCTTCGTCTCTTTATTAGATTCAGGCTAATTCCCATAGGTGCCATGAATGTTTCTCTTCCACAGAATATTTTTATTTGTTTGATATGTTTTGGCAACAGCTGTAAAAATCATGACAGAAATTGTGTCTTTTTCTTGTATGTACTCTTTGCAGTTTTGTAGCAACAAAATCCATACAATGAATGTTTTTTATATCCATATAAAATATTACAAGCATAGGGTACATTCTACTATACTTTAAATAACTATGCAACACTACAGGACGATGCCATGGGAGCAAAAATAAATGACTACACCACGGCCATAACATAAAGACATGGAACTAGACTAACATCTACGATACAGCTTGCTTATACCCCATTCACACCGCCAAGCCAAACCAGCCCATACCAAACCAGATCATTGATTTGTGCGTTTTGATTGGATGCATTTGTTTTTCTTATTTGTTTTTCGTGTTTTTCTTTATGTTTCTCTTAAACAGGTGCTGCAAATATAACTGCAGTGGAGTGGTATTCAGCATTGGCTATGTCTTTTCAGGTACGCTAGTCCGATATTTTGGGTAAACAAAGATAGACTAGGTGTAACAGATGACAGTGGCCTAATTTTGTTTTTTGGCGTGATCCCCGTCGTATAAGTTAATGCACCACTTCAACACAAATGACACAACTTCCAAAAATTGTCTGGATCTCGAAAATTTTTACGTTGCTTACAATGCTTAAAAGCAGAGACACATAGTTACAATAAAAGTATTCTTTGCGTACTTGTACCAGCGCACAAGGCGAAGTTGAAGTCAGAGGTATGATTTCATAGCAGAGATGTTTACTTTAGAATCGCTTGGCATCCTTGATTCGAGCAAAGGAAGACTGAATGTTTTTTGACATTTTCATAACAAACTGAGTCAACAAAGTTGATATTTTTGGCAAAATCAACAAACCATCATTTTATTGTTTTGTTCTTGCTTTCTGCCTTACATCAATACAATTTGCAAATCGCCTTTCTGCTTTTGCTAATTTGATCCGTCTTTCTTTTGTACCTTTTTAGATGTTGGTCAGTTTTATATACTTTGCCTCCTTCCTGTCACAAGTTCTTAATCCACCCCGCCCTGCATCTGGGACCAGTCATAAAGGTGGCAGTATTTTCAGACGAAAAGTGAGAAAGATGTACGGGTCAGGTGAGTGTCTCAAGGTTGTTGTGCGAATCGATTTCCCGGGGAAAGATTTGGGGTGGTATTCCAAGCTTGTTTATAGTAATTTCTGTTTATCATCGTCATTCATTTACCCAGGAAGTTTACTGCTTGTACCATAGGCGTAGACTTGCATTTTTTTCAGGGGGGGGGGGGGGGGGGGCTCAAAAAATTAATGACAATCCCTGATGGCAGCTGCTGATGTCACAGGATAGAAAGTGGATTAGCTAAGTGCTTAAAGGTGATTTTTTCCGTGCATTTTCCATTATCGAGGAAGAAGAAACACACAAATGAAATGATTGAAAGTTTATTTTTAAATCATAATCAGTTTCTTTAGGTTGAGATTTATTTGCTGTAAACGCAATTATTTAATGCAACAAAACTTATGCGTGAAACCAATAATATAACAAAAATATAAGATTGGTAAAGCACTTCCTTATTTTCCAGGAGGGGCTCAGCCCCCCCCCCCCTCTCGGTTTTCTTCAGGAGGGGCTGAAGCCCCAGACCCCCTGATTTTACGCCTATGGCTTGTACATCTGTCTACCAGACTATCCCTCCGTCTTCTGTCTTCCGCTTGGCGATTGCAGTCCGCTAAAGAGGCACCCACCAGGCTCTTGATGTTGTCAGTCCATCTGCATTTCCGTTCAGTTGTTCGTTTTTCTTTTTTCTTGAACGTTTCGTGTACTAATTTTGAACATTGTTTCTTATTTCACTTGTACAATCACTTTGCCACAGCAAGCTTTCGGAAATTGTTATTTTTAATCATTCCAAGAATGAACTGTCCCCTGCCCCAAAAGGGCAATATTTTTACTGTAGAGATCATCCAAGATCTGGAAATTATTGCCACTTTTTGAAAAGCAATTACAAACTATACTGAACTTTAAGAACATCTGTATTGAACTTTAATGTTATGTTAATGGTAGTTGGAATACAGAAGAGAGAAAGTTTAGTGCTCCCTTACGCCATTTCTTTTTGCTTCTAGTTTGATACCAAGGTTGTTTCAGTATGAAAGCGAGGTTTTGCTGGCACATCAGATGAATTTGATATTTGATGGAGAACTTTCACTGTCTATGTAAATATAACAAATTTCCATGCTTTCTTTAGAATTTGTAACATATCTAAAACAGCTAGACTATAATCTGTATTAATGTCAATATCAATAGAAACTTTCGTGAACGCTTTTGTATCAATCAATTCTAAGGAAAGGAAAGTACCAAGCTTGAAAACGAGAAGCAAATTATCTAGCTTATAGCTTTGTGTGACTCATGGCAGAACTCACAACTGCCACCAATGCACCTTTGTTTACAATGCACCAGTGCACCAATGCACCAGGTAGCACATTGTGCATTCACAGTTAATGACAAGTGTTGCCATTTGCTTTCCCTTTTCCCCTCATCCTTTTACACTTTCATTGCAAAAGCTTTTTTCGACAAACTTTAGTTGTAAAAATCGTTTTATTGGTAATATCATTGCTCTTGAACTTAAATGAAGATTTAATTCCGTCAGTTTTTTCATTCCAACCAGATTGTATAATTTTTTAATACATAAGATTTGCAATTTTATTTTAAAAATTACTTGCATACACGCAGAGGTGGAAAAAATTTTTTTCTTTCTGGGAACCTAAGAATCTGGCTCAAAACTTTCTGCAAGATTTAGGGGGTAGACAAATAAACTTTCTGTTTGTGCCTATATCTCTTAGTTGATGTATAAAAGAGGGCAAATTTAATTTTAAGAAGTATGATACTTCTCTTTTTAATGTTCAATTTGTTTTTATTTTAATGCCTAATTTGTTTTTTTCTCAAAGTATTTCTATAGAAGGTTAAATTGAATGCATAAAATTGTCAGGCAATCAACTTCTTAACATAATCAGTGTCATTTAACATCAGAGATCTTGACTATTGTTCCAAAACAGTCATTCTCAACATATTAGATATGCCTTTACTTAATGCATTAATGCACATAAGAAAGAAATCATTCTTAGCTAGAAATTGATTCATTCAATCAATCATGATGGAAAACCAAAATCAAAAGGAAAATCCATGCAATAATCTCCAAACATAGTTTCAGAAGAGTAAGGGGCAAAATCATTTGAATTGTATGGTGCATTTTATGACTTAGCCTAATCTTTTGACAAGTGAGAAGCAATATGTGGTTAAAATGGAGTCCTAGCATGCAACAGATTAATGTAACCAAGCATATTAACTTATGATCAATGCTGCTCACACCATGGTGCCAGAAATATTTTCTGTGAAAGTAGATTCCAGTACCTATATTAATCTCAGTCTTAATCATGGTTTGTCTTAAAAGCTCAGCTGCTAAAAAAATTCTGATCGTGAGTGGCTGAGATTTCTGTGAGATGGTGAATGTAAATAATGTGCACAAAGAATTTATTTCCAATGGAAAGAGACTAATTCCCACATTCCTTTGGCAGCTCAAATTTAGCTGCTCACAGACAAGTTAAAATAATATTTTCAACTAATTTG